ACCATTACAAACTTACCTGCTCATAAGTTGCTTGTGAAATGCAGGTTGCAGTTTTGCTATCTATATTTGTAAATAACCTTATAGACTCTATCCCCAGGTCTCCATTCAAAGTTCCATGGTAAGTTGGCGAACTTCCATGGTGACGCCTACATCACACATGATGACGAGGGCAAACTGCCTACAGGGTAAAATACCCTTCGCACATTCGTCTTTGAGCAGAAATAAATTTTTCTACCACTGCCTTTTCTGTCACGAGAAGAGTACAAGAAGCCGGAGGGTTTACACCAGCCTTGCAATTTCCAGTGTGGAGCCCTCTCGTGCAGCTTCCTGGAAACGCTGATCTGATTCTGGAAGATACCAGACGTCCAGTATTTCCACAACGTCACTTGTTTATGTTTTCTTTTTTCATGACGTTATCCCACGAGCCAAGTTGATCGCCAAGGACCCTAGGATCCCAAGCATATCGGTTTGAAGTTTCGTATTATCTTCAGCCGACCGAGTCAACTTACCAAGAATGCCACGCGCGTCGAGCTTATTTTTGCTCCTATTAAAGTCGGATCTCCTGATCCGCAACCAGAAGCAGATGGTTCATAGCGAGATGAGCTACACTGTAGACGTCATGTTGCGTCAGAAATGAATATCAACTCACAGGACTTCAACTTGTAATAGCTTATGAAGTATTAACCCATTTGGATCTGAGTCATAACAGCGTAACAGGGTCACGTTGTACATTTTTCCAAAATTCTGTGGTACATAACGTTCCGCAAGGAAGTACGGATAGCATTTCTCATGCTTTTCTGGAAAACAGCTAATTACAGTTGATAGCATCGTGATTAGTAGGGGCGTTATCTTAAGGCATGGAATGAGCCCGCGGTGTTGTTTTCTTCCTGAATCGATCACTAATCGATAAATATTAGTAGAAAAGGCAGTGGGCGGGCTCACTCCCCCCCCCCTTCTAACACCTCCCCAACTGACTGCAACTATATGAGCTTTACAGGTTCTTTTGCAATGTAGATTTGTTAGAAAAAACCGCTACACTTTTCTTTTGGATTACAATGCTGATCATTTTCAATCTTCCACATACAACATAAAAAGTGCATTAAAACGCCTTGAAGACACATTTCGCAGGTGGTGCGGCTAAAGTTTAGCAGTAATGAAGAAGGCAGAAGAAACGGTTTAGTCTCAATACGGCACTTTTTTGCGCTTTATTTTGAGCACTGCATGAGAGACGAAGAAATACTGAGCGGGGAGGCGAGAAACCAGAAAAATGAGGAATGAGACAGTACGCAACAGAACAAACAATGAAGGCGTTGTATGGATAGACCCCCTATTCTCTGGCGCTTTGACCCCGCTTTTCAACTGGCAAATTCGTACACTGTGTTCAGTCGTCATCCGGGCAGTTAATTACAGTCGTCATCCGGGCAGTTGATTAGGCGGTCAAAGGGTCGCAGACGCGGCTGCGGCGCGTCACGACCGCGGCGATCAGCTGTTTCCAGCCTGGTTTAGCCATTTTCTCCCTAATTTTCACTGTATTTTCTATTTTTTTTCAAGGTAGGTTGTGTTATTGTCTTTATTGAATTGAAGCCGAAAAAAGAATAGTTTCAGCTGAATAGAACGGAATTACAGCAAAAATACCGCAAAGACCAGTTGACTGGGAGTGTCGGCAATTATCGATCGGCGAGAGTCCAGACGGAAGAGTGAGCAGATAGTGCGGCGGCGTGTGTTCGAGCGCAGAGTCAATGTCAGAGAGCGCAGAGGCAATGATGATAATCGCCCCAGGCCTCCGCCTTTCCACCGACACGCAACTGTCGGACCGCTCGCCAGCGTGGCCGTAGGACCGCCCCACCGTCGGATGAGAACTCCTTTGTAGGCATATGCTCATCAATGAAGTACATGTGACGTTACAGAGTTCTTGAGCTGAGGGTAAACCGCACAGTTTCACATTACCTTCAACGAAACTGCACAACATCACGATAACATTGCTTCTCTCTGTGAACACCATGTGCCAGAAGTCCTCAACAGTTTCCGCGATGGGACCCTGCAAATGCGCAATAGAATTGTCTTCTTTGTATAACGCAGGCACAGACTGTATCTTCTACGAGATTTCGCTATTTTGTTTGATGCAGCAGGGCGTAACAAACGCATCGCTGAAGCCACCCACGGAGCAAACTTGCTGACACCTTCGCTCAAAGTTTTTGTAATTATCCTCCCATAGGTAGTGATCCCTTGATAATTTTTGCGCTGATTGTTGGTAAGTTGAAAACGGTAGACGTATTACACAGTATCGACAGCAACTTATCACTCAACGTGGACCGTAACCTCTGGACGGAGACGCGCTAGATCGAAACATACGAATCTCTTTTCCATAAGGCAGCGTTCATAGTTTGCGACACGAGCAGATTGTGTGATTGTTAGTTTTGGAAACCGATAATCACAGAACAAAAGTGATTATCAACGCGCTCTATTTCTAAATCACTTAATCGAACAATCGCAGGGTCGGCCATATCTAAAACTGCAAGACCAATTCTTGTCGCGAATTTTGTAAACCGCAGGGGAGTCGCCAAGAATAAATGTTGTGTGAGAGGAGCGTCTCATTGTTGCGCACCGAGCGGATTTGCCAGTGGAACGGGCACGGAATGGAGCATATGTGCCAGCCTACCAGCTAGAAATCTGATTTTCTAAGGGAAGGGAGCGGTCTGGGAAGGCGAGCACGGCGGGTCGTACGATAACTTCCCCACCCGGACCTGGGGAGATGTCTTATTCTCTCATTCTCCTTCGTATTTTGCAGTGAGAAAATCTTCTGTGTTCTCCGCTGCAGATTTGCCATTTCTGGTAGCAGACCAATGGTATCTACCAGCTCCCCCCCCCCTCCCAACGAAATTCGGCAGCATGATCACACAGCTGTGGAAGGAAGTCGTACCACAGGATAAGGTTTGACAGCATTTATAGACTGTTTCGCGTAGAACTGTGCGAGCATCAGATCTGGGGACGCTGTTCGGCGACGGGGAGGGGCATTTTGCACTTTCGCAGCTTCACTAGTTCCGGTTTACAAGTCTCACTCTGGTGAAACCTGTGAACTCTTGTGTAGCTGGAGCAAGCTCGTCCAGCCACCATGATAAAACCTGTCAACTCTCGTAAGGCTCTCTCGATGGCTCGACACGTCGATGGGAAACGGCAAAAGTATAACATGTCCCCCGTGGCCGAGCTGTGTCAGATCTGGGAGCTGATGTCGACAATCAGTGAGCAAACATGCTGTCCGACGCGCTCCATGCCAAAATTCGGAGGGAGTGGAGGGGTGCAAGTCCTAGTAGGCGAAAAATTTGACCCCCACCATGACGTGCGTTGGTGGCGAACGAGTTATTTACCATTTGGTTCACTAAAGACGCGTTTTTACTAGCCATCGTCAACTGTAAAACAAGCGCTGCACGTGCTCGTCGCGGTGTGTTTTGATGCTCTCGAATGCTAAGGACTTTCCAGGTCCAGAATAAATAGCTCACCTGTGTGCAGAGGTATTTCTGATTGTCAGGCATTGTCATCCAACTGGCGTGAATGTAGTCGTCATTTTCACTACGAGCTTTTAGGCGTACTCTTGTTGAATCCATGCAGAGAATGTCGTTGTATCTGGTTGGGCTTATGGTTAAGAAATATCATCCCAGATTTGGTCGCATGCGTCGGCCCAAACTGTTGTCCAGTAGTAAAAAACGCTAAAGAAATACTGTTTTTCTGCTCGTTCTTTCGTATGCCACAAAGCGTCATACGAATTCTCGGCTTCATAGTTTTTTATTTTGTGTGAAAATTCATTCCAACACTCTCTTCAGCAAATCAATTGAGGCGGCTCTAAGCAGCATCACCTATATAAGGATTAATGAGAAGTTATTGACACCAGGAGATGCATGGGGGGTCCGATGACACTGACCTCAGCTTGCCGTGAATCTAGTGGGAAGAAGCGTAGACAAAAGAGATAATAGGCTAACACCCAATTACCCTCGCAGTACTTCCCGGCTCACACCTGCCAACTGCTTCCAGTCAAGACAGCGACACGAATAGCGGGACCTAGACGCAAAAGCCCAGCTCCAAGGCGCCGTCTTCCATACCCCCCGCCGCGCTCAGTCATCAATGCTGCAGCAAAATCGCGCCGTTGATCACAGAATGCGTAGAGACCCACTCACTCAGACTTGTCGAGAAGATCACGGAAGCGAGATGGCGGCATATAAAGTGCGACCTTGGCCCGGGTCAGGCGTGTGGCTTGGTCGCTATGGAGCCCATGCGGCCGAGTTGTGGATGACATCACAGCAGTCGCATCACAATCCTCCAGACTCGTTTCCCATACAGTCTTGGGGCTGAGAAGTGAAGCACGCTACTATATGCGCGACCCTGAGGCCAGAACGCATGGCCAGAAGGACCAGGCATTCCACGGAGCGAATGTACAGTTTCCCTTTAAATAGTTAGGTCCCTGGTGCAACTAGCTGCCAATGCGACCCGCGCCCCCCCCTCCCTAACAGAAGCACCGCATTGCAAAGCACACGTAGACTCAACCATACCCCCTCCACTGGCCAGGAATGAGTTTAGGTTTGTCCGGAAAGTTCTGCAGGTTTTGTGTTACTATTTTTGCACATTCATTGCTGATTAAAAACTCATTCTCCCTTGCGTCTCAGTAGTACATCCTGAAGAGAATTCTTTGCGCTATCTGATGGTATAACTGCCGTTTCACCATTGCTTGATAAACCCCCTTTTTTTGATTTTTTCAAGCATGTGAAAAGAGCACTTCGGAAGATTTTTTTCTTCGACTATAGAATCTGGGGCAATCCGCAATCGAAACAGCTCAACAAATTAACCAGGTGTGGGGCCCAATAGTGCTAGAGAAAGCACTGTGCGGCAATGGTTCAACAAATTTCGTTCTGGAGATTTCAGCCTTGAAGATGAACCTCATAGCGGTCGACCTAAAGCAATATCTGACGAGGATTTTAAGGGGATTTTGAAGGTTGACCATCCAAACAGTTCGAGAGATTGCAGAAAAGCTAGGCGTTGGCAAATCCAGTGTTGCAGATGGTCTGAAACGCATTGGGAAGGTGAAAAAACTCGATAAGTGGGTGCCCCACAATTTGAGTGACCGGCAGAAATTGGCACGTCTCGGGTTCCTTCTGCATTGCTTTTGCGCAGCAGAAACGACCTGTTTTTGGGCCGAATTGTCACCTGTGATGAAAAATGGGTCATGTATGATAACAGGAGACGTTCCGGACAGTGGTTGGATTTCGACGAACCACCGAGGTAATTTTCAAAGCCGAACCCTCACGAAAAAAAGATTCTGGTCACGGCTTGGTGGTCATCGGCTGGTGTGATCCACTATAACTTTTTGTCACCAGGCTTAACCATACACCAGCAGACGTCATACTCGTGAAAACATCGGACGAATTGTACCGAAAATTGTACCAAGACTGCAGCCAACACTTATCAAAAAGTAAGGTCGATTCTGGGTGACTTAACGCACCGCCCAACATGTTTCACAAATCACTATCCATAAATTGAACGAATTGGGGTTGAAGTTCTACCACACCCACCATATTCTCCAGACCTTTCACCAACCGACTATCACCTTTTCAAACATTTTCAGAACTTCCTTGCTGAAAAATACTTCATCAATTAGGACCAGGCAAAAAGACCTTCGTAGATTTCGTGGATTCTCGACCACCCAGTTTTTCCTTTGATGGGATTTCTCGACTGCTGTCACATTGGCAAAAGTGTGCTGATTCGAATGGTGCTTATTTCGGATGAATCCGATGAGTGTTAAGAAAGTTAAGTTTTGATCGTTTAAAGTGAAACTCTCGAAACGTGCAGAACTTTCCGGACAACCTAATAGTTGAGAACCTCGCGCCCACGCTGTGGCTGCACAAGCACAATATAGGGCGGTTAGCTGTACTCGAAGTGACTAGGTGGTGGCTGTCGCGCCACTGAGCAGTGGTTTCCCCAAAGCCAACGATGCCATACATAGGACATACCCCTCAACGGACTCTGATTGCGCAGTAAGCCATAGAATAGAATGGGTTAACCCTTAGGATGAAACCTTTCGCCTGAACTGAGCTTTCTGTGCC